ATTATTATTATTATTATTATTATTATTATTAGACTCTCACTCTTGTTGCCCAGGTTGGAGTGCAGTGGCACGCTCACGGCCAGGTGATCCTTCCACCTCAGGCTTCCAAGTAGCTGGAACTACAGGCATGCACCACCATGCCTGGTTAGTTTGTGTGTGTGTGTGATTTATTGTAGAAACCAGGTCTCACCAAGTTGCCCAGGATGGTCTCAATCCCCCGGGCTCAGGCAGTCTTTCACCTCAGCCTCCCAAAGTGCTGGGATTTCAGGCTGAGCCACTGCGCCTAGCATTTATTCAATTAATTAACTCATTAATTAATTAAATTAATTTTTTTGAGTCAGAGTCTCACTCTGTCGCCCAGGCTGGAGTGCAGTGGCACGCTCACCGCTACCAAAGCCTTGACCTGCTGGGCTCAGAGGACTCTTCCGCCTCAGTCTTCCAAGTAGCAGGAATTACAGAGGCGTACCACCATGCCCAGATAATTTTTTGATGTGTTGCAGAGACAAGGTCTGGCCAAGTTGCCCAGGCTGTTCTCAAATCCCTGGACTCAGGCAATCCTCTCCCCTCAGCCTCCCAGAGTACTGGGATTACAGGCGCAAACCACCACACCCAGCTCTAAGCCTCTTTAAACATCTCAGAGTTGGGTCCCTGGGATGACGCAGGGCACACAAGCAGCTGGTGCCCCGTGAGCTGGGTCAGGGCCCAGAAAATGCAGAGCTGCTTGTTGGGATGCTGTCCTCAAGGTCCACATGCCAGCCCTGTCTCCAGAACGCCCCAGCTGTGCAGCCTTGGTGGACCCCTCCTTTCTCACGGTCTTAGTTTCTTTTCCTGTAAATGGAGCCAGCTCCGCACACAGCATGAGATGCACTGCCCCTTGCTACAGACCGGAGGTGCCCTGGCTGTTCAGGAATGGGTCCCAATTGCCCAGAGGTCAGTGAAAAACGAGGAAGGACCCTGCTGGGAGATGGTGCAAGCGGGTCCACCTAGGGTGGAGGGACACAGCCAAGAGCCATGAACATCCTCATTGTGATCTGAAGCAGATGGCCAGGGAGCGGCGACACAGCTGGCTCTAGCTGCTGGAGCTTGGGACTGAAAGCCATGCTCAAGGGGAGTGATGACACCAGGGTGGTGGCCTTTACTGACCCCCAGTCACAACCTAGACTTTAAGTTGCTTAGGACCTTCCGGTTTCTGAGGAGATTCTGAAGGTCCAGGGAATCTCTGGCCAGAGGCAGATGACTCGTCACCTTTTCTGGGGCCACCTCAATCTGAGCGCCTGATGACAGTGTCACCTGCCAGGGGCATACTTGGCTGCTAGGGACCTCAGGCGTGGTGTGGACCCTCATGGCAGAGCCCCCTCTGGGAGTGGCCTCTGTACCTTGCAGGATCCATAGTGGAGGTTGAAGGTGGACTTGACATGCTCAGGAGCTGTGCCGAGCCCAGGTAGGACCTTGACCTTGACCACAGCTTGCAGTTAATTCCAGCTGTTTGGGCCAAGCTCCCCTCATCCCTCCTGTCTCAGACTCTAGCATTTCATTCATTCACTCACTCAACAAACATTTATTGAGTACCTACTGTATGCCAGCCACTGTCCCAGATGCCAGGGACCATCCCAAGTACACTACAAGGAAGAACATAGACAAAGTCTGTCCAATTGTAGTGTTAAGGGCGGGGACTCAGGAACCAAGTTGCTTAGGTTCAAATCCTGGCTCCACTGCTTCCTAACTGTGTGGCTATGAGAAAGTTGCATAAAGTCTCTGAGCCCAAACTGCCTTGACAGTAAAATGTGGCTAAGAATAGCATCTCCCCATGGAATTGCAATGAGGATTGCATGGTGTTAGTAGAGTGCTTGTGTTGGGCACAGTGGTTCATGCCTGTAATCCCGCACTCTGGGAGGCCGAGGCAAGAGGATTTTCTGAGCTCAGGGGTTCGAGACCAGCCGGGGCAACTTGGTGAGACCTCGTCTCTACAGCAAATCAAAAAATTAGCCCAGCGTTGTAGCACTCGCCTGTGGTTCCAGCTATTTGGAAGGCTGAGGCGGAGGGATCGCCCATTAGGTCGACGCTGCGGTGGCCGTGAATGTGCCACTGCACTCCAGCCTGGGCAACAGAGTGAGACTCTGACTCAAAAAATAAAAATGAAAAAGGGTGCTTGGCCCATAGTAAGTGTGCTGTGTGTTTGCAATTGATCTAGTGGGAGACATGGAAAATGAACTATAAACAAAGAATTGTAGATTATGACTGGTGTTTTGAAGGAAATGAACTATGTTTTGGAAGACATGAGTGTGGGCAGAAAGACTGCCAGGCAGGGTAATCAGGAGGGCCTCTCCCAGGCTGTAATTATTGTTATTTTAAAATTTTTTTTTTTTTGAGTAGGTGTCTCACTCTGTCACCCAGGCTGGAGTGCAGTGGCTTGCTCACGGCCACCACAGCCTTGACCTGCTAGGTTCAGGCAATCCTTCCACCTCAGCCTTCCAAGTAGCTGGAAATACAGGCATGCACCACCACTCCCTGCTAATTTTTTTATTTATTGTTTTGGCGAGGACTTGCCAAGTTGCCCAGACTGGTCTCAAATCCCTGGGCTCAGGCAAGCCTCTCGCCTCTGCCTCCCAAAATGTTGGGATTACAGGTGTAAGCCACCATGCCCAGCTGAGGATGTGATTTCTGTAGGGTGTGTTGCATAGAAAGGAGAGGAAACAGTCTTGGCGGGAGCAGGAAAAGCGCTTTCCAGGCAGAGGGATCAGCAAGCGAGAGTCCCTGAGGTGGAAAATGACTTGGCAGGTGTCAGGAAAGCCAGAAGGCCCAGGAGGTGGGAACTCGGTGCGGGAGGGGAATGGAGGCATGACCGGTCAGAGACGCCAGCAAGACCTTGTGGGCCACAGAAAAGAGTCTGGCTTCTATTTCCAATGCAGCCAGCAGCTACAAGAGGCAGTTGTGACATTATAAGTTGCACTGAAGTGTATCACACATGCAAGAAAGTGTGCAAATTGCAAGAGTACGGTGCCTTGAATATTTAAAAAGCAAACACCCCCAGGATGCCAGCACTGACCTCAAAACCAAAATGTGATCAGCGCCCCCAGGATTCCCCCTTAAGCCCCTTCTGTCACCACTCCCCTGGGATCCAGGATCCTAGCACAGAACCTTACCCTGTCGCTCAGGCTGGAATGCAGTGGCACACTCCTGGCCACTGCAGCCTCGATCTGCTGGGCTCAGGCGGTCCTTCCGCCTCAGCCTTCCAAGTAGCTGGAACTACAGGCGCGCACTACCACGCCCAGCTAATTTTTGATTTATTGTGGAGATGGGGTCTCGCCAAGTTGCCCAGGCGGGTCTCGAACCCGCGGGCTCCGTCAATCCACTCACCTCAGCCTCCCAAAGGCGTGGGATTATAGGTTGAGCCACCGAGCCCGGCTTAATTTTTTAATTTTATTGTAGAGATGAGGTCTCACCAAGTTGCCCGGGCTAGTCTCGAAAACCTCGGCTCAGGCAATCCTCTCACTTCCATCTCCCAAAGTACTGGGATGACAGGTGTGGGCCACCGCGCCTGGCTTCAACTTGCGCTTATCAGAGTCTGCACTGTTTTTGTTTTTGTTTTTTTGAGTTGGAGTCTCACTCTGTCACCCAGGCTGGAGTGCAGTGGCACACTCACAGCCACCACCGCCTCTACCTGCTGGGCCCAGGCGATCCTTCCGCCTCAGCCTTCCAAGTAGTTGGAACTTGCCCTTATCAGAGTCTGCACTGTTTTTGTTTTTGTTTTTGAATTGGAGTCTCACTCTGTCACCCAGGATGGAGTGCAGTGGCATGCCCATGGCCACCACAACCTCGACCTGCTGCCAAATACGTTTCCTTCCTGAGGACACAGGTCCGAGTTTGGGAGGGAGTGGAGAGTTAGACAAACCATCAGTCATAATAGTGCAGACTCTGGCCAGGTGCGGTGGCTCAGCCTGTAATCCCAACACTTTGGGAGACTGAGGTGGGAGAATCCCCTGAGCCCAAGAGTTGCAGACCAGGCTGCGCAACATGGTAAGACCTCATCTCTACCAAAAATAAAAAAAATTAGCTGGGTGTGGTGGTGTACACTTATAGTCCCAGCTACTGGGGAGGCTGAGGTGCGAGGATCTCTTGAGCCCAGGAGATCAGGGTTGCAATGCTGTGATTGTGCCACTGTTTTCCAGCCTGGGCAACAAAGTGAGACGCCAACTCAAAAAGAAAAGAAAAAGGAAGGGCCCCATCATACCAAAACTGCATGTGACTGTGAAGGTTAAATGGGGGAAAAGCCCATCCCCATTACCCAGCCCCTGCCACCCTAGGTGCATAATTAATGCCCTTTGTCTCTTCTTTCTTCCAGGTCCAGGTAATGAAATGAAAGCAAAGACACTCCCTATGGGTGAGGGTAAGATATAGCCCTCACTTTCCTGAGCTTTCCAGGGTCTGTCTTTGAGAGTCTACAAGTCTAGACCAATGATACCTCCCTTCCACAGGCCAGCAGAGACCCAGCCTCTCCTGGGAAGGCAGTGCCCACAGGCTGCCCTCAACTCCACAGGCCCAGTGTAGATGACCCAGGAACCGCGGCCTCCTTCCCACACTGGCGCGCACCTGGGATCCTCACCCCTCTTCCCACCCACCCCTGATTCCCGGAGTGTCCTCCCCGGGTGCCCACCCAGCCTGCTCTCCTGGTTCCTGTGCCCACGACACGTGGCACCTTCCCCCGCACACCCCACCCCTCCGCATGCGTGCAGAGCCTTCCCGCCAGACTGCGCGGGCAGGGAGAGACCTGTGCCCCGTTCCCGGAAGATCGCCCACACCTGGCACTGTGCCCAGCGCCCAGCGGGGGCGTCCTAAATATCTCCTGAATGATTCATTCATTCCCTCGGGAGAGAAAGCACGACCTCTGAGTGGTTAAGCGTGTGGGCTTTGAAGTCACACAGACCTGGGTTCAAGTCCTGGCTCTGACCTTTGCCTCTGTGACCTTGGTCGCCCTTCTGAGCCTGTTTCTTCTTGTTAAAAAAAAAAGGGGGGGGGAAGTGCCCACGACCCGATGAGGCCATCGTGAGGATTTAGCGCGATGATGTGGTAAGAAAACAGCACGAATCTGACCTATAGCGACAGCCCAATCGTGGTGGGAGGGGGTGGTTATCAGCTCAGAGAAGGGGAAACTTTCCGCTGCGCAGCTCCTGGGTTTGGTTTCTTTGGCTCCCGGGACGTGGGCGTATCGCGTCCGTTTTACAGGTAAAGAAACTGAGGCCTGGCTTGGAAGCGGATAACCAGGGGCGCGGGGGCCGGGGCTAGACCCCAGGCCCGTCTCTGCGTCTGGCTCGTGGCCTGCGTCTCAGAAACCCCCGGTGGCACAGCCCGCCCCCTCCTTCCCGGGCCGGGGAGGAGGGCTTGGACCTGGCCCGCGGGCGCCCGTGGCCGCCCGGGCGCGCTAGGAGGTCTCCGGCTGGGACCCCGGAGGCGCCGCGCCGCGCGCGGGAGCGGGG